TGTTGTTGTTGTTGTTGTTGACGACTTTTATCCTTAATTGAGTCCAGCGTGTCCTAATTTTTTTTTTTTTTTTGCTTTAATTTTTGATTTTTTGTATATATATTTTAATTTTTGTTTTGTTTTTTTTTAATCTTATTTTTTTTTTTAATTAAATTCCTTTATTGTGTTGTTTAAGTATAATAATTTTTTTTTTTTAATTTTCTTGCAATGATTTTGTTGTTATGTTTTAGAATAAAAATGTTTTTTTTATTTATTTTTATTCTTGTTGTTGTTGTTTTGTTGTTCTAATTGATTTTCATTAAAAAAAAATTTCAATTGTATTATTAAATTTTTTTTTGAATAATTTTATGTAATTATATATGAAATTTAATATTTTAATATTTAATTAATAAATATTTAATTTATAATAAAAAAAAATAATTAAAATAAATATTTTTATTTTTAATTTTGAGTTTAACAAGTTCTTGTTGCTTTTTTTTGAAAAAAAAAAATTATTTTCAAATTTATTCAAATTTTTTAGAAAATAAATTTAAATATTTTAATAAAATTGTAAACAACATAAAAAAAATTTTAAGTATAAAACAAAAATTAAAAAATTATATAAAAAAATTTAAATTTTAAGTACTTTTTTTGGTACTTTTTTAAGTAAGTATTTGTAAATTCATTATTATTATTAAATATATTCATAATTAAGTAATAGAGAAGAGAGGAGGAAAGGAAAAGCAAAATGATATTCATAGAGATGAAATTATACAAAATAATTAAGAAAATAAGTAGATTTTTAATAATAATTATTAACGGTAAATAATTTATAATTAAATAGTTACAAGAGGTAAGTAATAATTAAATAATTATTATAATAAAATAGCAATTATTGTAATGATGTATGATTTTTTTAATTATTAAAATAAAATAATCAAATTAAAATAAAATGATAAATGTAAATTACTTAATGTATATAATATTATATATAATATAAAAGCATGTTTTTAAAAAATATTTATTATTAGTTAAAGAAAGTATTTAAGATTTAAGAAAATGTAGATAATTTAATTAAGTATTACAAAATTTATTTGTAATTCTAGTTTAATGTAATTTAATGTAAAATTTATTAATAAAAAATTATTTGTTGTTAAAGCATTTTTAAATAAAATATAAGTATATATAATTATAATTAATTATATTAATTAGAAATATTATTTTAGATAACCGTATTTAACGTATTTGGTTTCAATTTTTTCATTAACATTCAAACATTTTGAATAAAGTATTGAAAATTTTTCATTTAAAATAAATACAAATTTTGAAAAATCAAGAAATTTTCAAAAAAACTGAACTACTTATTCAATAATACTAAAACCATAAATTACTTTTCAATATAATTAAGTAATTATGAATTTTTAATTTACTATTTTTTTATTAACAATAATTTGTTAATCAAAAAATAATTTCTTGTAAAACAAATTGAATAAAATATTGTGAATTGAAATATAAGTAGCACTCATTTTGTAATTTTATATAATTTAATAAAATATGTATATAAAATAATCTTGTGTATTAGAAATAATCAGCCATTCATACAATCATAATTAATTACAAACTCAATCATAATTATTAAGAAAATTTTAATACTCAAGTAAGTATTTCGAAAAAAATAAAAATTTAAATGTTATACGAATACATTATTAATTATATTATACATGTATATATACTTATATTAAAGAAATTTAAGATTATAAAATGAATTAATTAGTCGATTATTTAATTGATTATAAATCAAAATATGCTTAGCAAATTCCAATTAAGTAATTTAATATTTGTTTATTAAAGATCATTGTTTTTTAAAATATATGTATATAATATAAAATTTAATTAAATTAAAAAATATTAACGAATAAATAAAAAAAAAAATTAATAACAATAATTAAGTAAGTAAGTATATAAGTAATAATTTAATATAAATATAAAAAGTTAGAACAAACAACGAATAAATAATATTTATACATATACATATTTATTATATTATATTATGTATATTTTTAATATATATAAATCAAGAGTATATATATGTACATATACCTGTATATATATATCGAAACCTTAATTATAAAACAAAAATTATTTATTTGTATTTTTAAATATTTGATACGTATATGCTTTTATGTAGGGTGTCCGAAACTCAATGGAACTCCCATAGTATGGTAATATAATGCCTCCAGACGAACAAGAAGTTAATGATATTTTACAAATATTTTGACATTGCTCATTAAAATATTTCTGAAGGAACAAAAAAAAAATTCAAGATCACTGGTACACCTTTAGAAGGGGAATTTTACAGAAATTTCAATTTTCACTACTCATAACTAGAGAAGGAAGAAGAAACCGAAAAAGCAAAATGTCATTAGGTATTTCTCGTTCGTCTGAAGGCATTCCATCATCATATTGCTGAGGATACCTTTGAGCCTCCGGAAAATTTTTTTAATAAAAATATTAAAAAATGCAAATATATTGTATTTTAATTAAATGAGTAGTTTAAATATGTTCTCTCGTTCTCTAAACTTTAATTTAAAAATTTATTGGGATTTATTGTGTTTATATATATACACATATGTATATATATATATGTTTCATATTTGAAGTATAATTTTTAAAAAAATATATATTAATATTTATAATATTAAGAAAAACAACTGAAGTAAATAATATTGTTTTTGGTATAATTGTACAATTGTACTTCAATTTTTAATTAAATGAAGTACTTAAGCATACAGAGATACAAGTATGTTTTTATTTTTAGTAAGTAATTATTACCATATATATAAACAATAACAATAATACTGTAACGCAATACCGTAAAAAAAAAAGCATTTGTAATACCGTAAAAAAAACACAATATTATATTTTATTCTTATATATATATATGTACATATAAGTATATAAAATTAAAAAACACATATATATTCTTATTGTAATATGAGTAAATTGTGTTAATTTTCACTTTTTACAAAAAGAAAACAAAAATAACAAAATTAATAACAAGTAAGACCTTTTCATTTTTTTAATAATTGCTATGAATTTTTTTTTTTGTTAATGAACTTTACCAAACAGAGTGTAACTAAGTATAATTTTCATTTATTATTTGATATATATATAATATATACATATGTATATAGTTTATATACTTGTATACAATGTGTATTTATATATTGGTGTAATCGATAAAAGTAAAATACAGGTTGGGGTTCTTTTGCATCTTAATCGATATTGCAGTTAACAAAAGCATTTTGTAATTTTTAAATATTGTCAACAGATCTCTATATATATATATATATACATTTGTAGTGTAATCGATAATACAAAAAGCAAAATTGTCACGTAATTAATAATGTCAATTGCCTGTCATATTATTAAAAATTTTTTGGTTCATTTCATTTAATGAAATTTAGTTTTAGAAATTTTATAATATCCGGCATATAGATGTACAGACATATTTAAAAAAAAAAATTCGATATTGAAAAGAAGTAAAACGTGAAGTATGCCAAATTCATGCTACCCAAAATAATTTGGTGTTAAAGCAGTTGTTAGCCGGGTTTCACGCAACAGTTGTATATATACAAATGTTATTTTAAGCATACATATTGTTGATTGCCCGTTGGTGACTACCAGAACCAATTATTGTCGACCGGCATTTGACATTATCGATTACACCTTATTATAATATGCATATGTATAAATAATATTAAGAACAAATAAAATATAATAATAATATTGTTAATATTAAAAAAGAATAATAATAATAAAAAAGAAACTTAAAAATGTATACATGAAATATAGGTAAAACAAAAAACAACAAAAATAATAATTATAATTAAATTTTTTTTTTTCTTAATTTATAATGATATATAAGTAAGTAGGTAATATTTTGATTATATAATTTGGTGTTAGTAAATTTAATTAATTTAAGTAATTTTTTTATTTCTTTTCTTCTTTGCATTTTTTTTCGTGTGATATTTAATTTTTTTTAATATGTAGTAGAAAAAATTAAAAAAAAAATAAATAAATAAAAAAATAAAAAATATATATATTTTTTCTCATTAATAACTAAATTGATTTTGTTTTTTAATTGTTGTTTAAATTTATTTGTACAGTAAAGTCTCGTTTAATGCGATGTATACGTTCTACAGAATTAAGTGCATATAAAAAATTAATTTAAGTACTTTAAATTTTTAAAATCGCTAATAATTTACGACACTCAATTTAAACTTTTTTAAAAGAGTAATCAAAATTTATTGCTCTTGCTTATTACTGTAATTTGAGATCAACAAAATTTCGTCTGTTGAGAAATGAAACAGTATATAACGTATACAAAGTATATGGATTATTCACAGTTTTATTTCTCAACAGACGATTTAAACTCATCACTTAAGTATTATAAAGATTGAAAAAAAACACCATCAATAAAAAATTTAATTAACAAAACAATTACATTACAGTTCAATACTTTTCAATCCGAAACTCAGAATATAGTCACAGTGACTATACACATACGGGAAAGAATTCCCAAATTGCAAAATCTCATTTTAAAAATCAAAATCACTGACACAATGTGGATGTGAAAAGTTTTAAAGTAAATTTAGCCGTCCTTTACATGTATAAACGTTAAGTACGATTGTGTCAGTGGTGTAATAAATGAAAAAGGAGCTTTGAGTATTTTATGATTTTAGGTGACTGTATATTTATGCGAGTCTAAGAAAATTTTGAATCAAATACAAATAGAACAAAAATAATTCGCATAAAAAAAGAGACCTTACTGTATATATATATAATATATTAATAAAAATTGGTTAAATTAAAAAAAAAATAAAAATTTGAAAAAAAAAAATAAACCCTTTTTTTTTTGTTATTATTTTTTACATTTAAAAACAAACCAAAAAATTTTTTTATTTAAAAAAAAAGAAATTTTATTATTTTATATCACACACACACACATGAACACTTACTTTTTTTTCAAGATATTTTTCAAGATTAATTATATATATATATATATTTTAATATATATATACCTATATATTTATTTATTTTATATATTGTATATTATTCTTTAAAGAAAATATACAAGAGTAGAAAAATTGATTTTTTTAATTTATAAAAAAAAAAAAATTATTTCAAATTTTCTTATTTATTTTTTTTGAAATTTTTTACACTTAAAAGAAATTTTTACTTTTTATTTTTATCTTCAAAATGTTATTTAAATAATTTGAAAAAAAAAATGTTAACTAAAACAACTGGTTAAATTTTTTTTTAAATAATTAAATAAAATTCTTGTGGGTTTCAAATTATTTTTTTTTCTTATCACTTTAATTTTTATTCCTTTATTCTTCTTTAATTCAAAAAAAAAAATTTGAAGATTTTCTTTTCCTTTATTGCACTTTATTTTCTTTCTATAACAATTTTTCTTCCCTTTCCGATTTCAAAATTTTCTCAATATGAAAATTAAATTTTCTTTTTCACAAATTTGTAAATGAATTTTTCCTTCACTAAAAGAAACAAACAAAAAAAATATAAAATTAATTTAAAAATTATTTTAAAAATTAATTGTTTTATATTAAAAAATAATTAGTCACTTATTTATTGTTTTTATTTCTTTGAATAAAAGTTTATGTTTTTATAGAAAAATTGATAATTATGTAATGCTATTTATATTAATTTTTTTGTTTTTGTTATTTCTACTCCTCAACCTATTTAATGTGTACCACCTAAACGCCCCCTCCCCCTCTCCCCTTCCGACTCATTCCACTAAATAATGACGATTGTTGCTTGCTAATAAAGACGATTGTTGCTCATTTGCAACTTATAAGTATTATCGGATACGAAATCAATTATTTTATAAAACTAGTAATCACTTAATCGAATTTATTGTTATTCTAAATCCTAATGGACTAATATTTAATTTTCAATTTGAAATTGACTTAGTCACCTTCAAAATAAACCCATATAATATTGTTGTTATAAATTTGAATAACATTTAATTTGAAAATTTTTTTCAAAACGCCATTGTTATAGGTGGAGGCCATATTTTAATATGCCTAAAAATATTTCAACCAAAATCAATTCCGGAGTTTTTGACAAGAAAAATGCGATATGTTAATTCAAGACACTTATGATCAACATCCCTCTTCATTATTTAAAGAAGAAGAAGTAAGAGAAACACTGCAGCTGTTTTATAAAGGTTTTGGAAATTTTCAAATATTCAAACCTGTGTAAAGTAAATATTTAGATTTTATATTAAAAAAATCTGTAATTTACTAAAATTTAACTACATATGCCGAATATTTTTTTATTAAGTAATTTAGACCAACGACCAAAATAAAAGTGAAAATATGAAAATGAAAGTTTTAAATATTTTTAAATTTGCAAACTAAGTAACCCGAGTCAGTAAATGTTTTAAATCATCCAAATATTTAAACATTTTTCGAAAAAAAAAAAAAAAAAATTGTTGAATAAACTTAATTAGTAAAATGTTCTCTCTTAATTAGATTCTTTTTAATTAGATTTTGAAAACGAAAAAAAAAAGAAAGAGCGATATTTTCTTCCCCCCCTTCTCCAAAATCACTCCTATATTTTCTACTTCAAATATAATATAAATAATTTAATTTGAGAAAAAAAAATACAATTTAAATTTAATTAGAGCTATTCTTTTTCTGATAAAAAATTTTCTAATTTTTGGTTAAACTACATTAAACTAGACTATACTAGTATTTAAATTAATTCGCTAATTAATATGTGACTGAAGTAAATCAGTATTTAAGAGATATTTTCATTTAACAATGAATATCTAATTCAACAGAAGAATGAAAGCAAAAAATACTTAAATCAATATTGTATATATATATACAAACGTGTCCATACAGAATATGTATGTATGTACTCGTACAAAATGTACAAAAATACTATTGAAATTACAATTGCTTTCACAATTCTCAATTTTTAACCCCGTCACCCCTATTTTTCTTTTCTTTGTATAAGTACTTTTATCTTTAAAATTATAACATTTAAGTAAGTAAAGAAAAATATTTTTGAAAAAATTCAAAAGTTTTTGTCATTACTTAGATATTTAGCAATTAAAATTTTGTAAAAAAAAAGCAAATAAATTCCATTCATATTCTTTTTTCATTTATTTCTTTTTTTTTTTTTAATTTTTAATGGAATATTTTCATATTTTAAATGAAATTTTTATTGTTTTCTCGAGAGAAACAAAATATGTATAGGGGTTTAAGTAGGTACCTACATTTGAATTTTAATTTTTTTGTCATGCAAATATAATATTAAAGTAAAAGTAGATTTTGCAAGTAAATAAACAAGAATTCTATTGAAAAAATCTTTGGGTAGAGCAAAAAAAATAGAAAATATACAATATTTTAAACGAATATTGTAAGTACTTATATACAATCAAACGCAATTAAGGTATTGTATTGATAATGTAGGTATTATAGTACTTTTGCAAAAATATATAATTTTCCTATGGGGATACATACACGTGCCTTAATTAGATTTACAACAATAAAAAGAAAAAAAATTGAGTATCAATGATAATAAAATCGATTAAGAATTAAGTAACAACCTAGGTACTTACTTAATAGATAAGAAAACACAAAAACAATGTTGTAGTACCTATCTAACCATACCGATTTCAGAAGAATTTTGTGTTTTAATATAAATAATTGGAAAATTTTTTTAATTGAGTAAGTAAGTATATCAAGAATTAGAATGTTATAAAATTTATTTAACAAACTTCGTTTATAACTAATAAAATTACGTTATTGAATTCTAATCAATTTATAAACCTAATTTCAAATTATTACCGTCTAAATAACAACAATTAGGTATATACTTTGGAGTAAGTTTGGAACAAAGATCAGCTGATTTCATGATTTAAATAACAAATTCTACTTATAATACAATTTCATTAAATTAAAACCAATATTAATTGAAATGTCATTTTTTTTACAGTTGAATTATTCAGATAAGTTTGTAGGTACCTACATAAGTATAATATTTATGTTTTTTTTATATGGGTCAAATCAAGGTATGTATACCTACCTAAGTTTGTATGTAGATATTATTAGAAATACAAAAAAAACTGTGTTGGTATACCAAAATTATTTAAAATTTAAATATTTTCACATTAAGTATAATAAAATTTTTGAAATTTTGAATAACATTATTTATGTAAACCTACTTTGAAAATGGAGTAGATACCTACGTAACCTGAAATTAAAAGTATCCTTATAAGCACACATATTTAAATTTAGTTTCTTTCTTCATCCTATTCTATTAAATTTTTTTTAAAAATTTCTTTTGGTTCTGTCTACCCATAGCAGCTAGTTACTGCAATGAGGCGATTCCTTACCTAAAATATCTGACAATAAATTTGTGCTAAAATTTGTACTAAAATTCTGTAATTATCTATAAGTTATTTGAAACTTTTGTCTGAAGTATATGTACTTTTCGGATAAGTAGACCACTATAACTACTAGAGGTTACTAAATATATTATGATAAATATATTGATTCCATAAATCGATCCATGCCATTTTAATTAGCAATTTATCTGTACTCATAAGTAGATATGCATAAAAAATTGTCATAATTAATTATTGTAGCCACCTACATGAATGTATGTATACACCTGTATATTGTACTTTATATGGATAGCTATACATAGATAACAAAAATTTTTTTTTTGCTTTTTCCAAATATTTTTTAGCAAAAAAAAAAAAAAATTCAACAAAAATCTACAATAACAAACAGGTGTTAATGAACAAAAATAAATAATTTGAAAATTATGAAAAATATGACTAAAAAAAAAAAATTATTTCTTTTTTATTTTTTCAATCTTAAATAATTTATGTATTTTATTTCTTATCACAAAATATGAAAAAAGAAAATAGCAGCAAAAAAAAAAAAAACAAATTATTTCCATGGTAATCCAATCATATGATCATTTTTTATAGTAAAGTAGAAGTAGAAAATAAAAAAAAAACACAAAAAAATCCCATTTAATTTTTTTTATTATTTTTTTTTTTTGTTTTTATTATTATTGTTGCTTTAATTGGGTAGTTAGTCGGTTGGAGAATCACCTTGTAACAAAAAAAAAAAATAATAAAAAAAATATTTTTCTCTGTGTAGGTATCTACATATTTTTTAATAATTTTTTTTCTTGTTTTTTTTTTTTTTGGGAATTTTACAATATTATTGTTGTTGTGTAGTTTTGTAGTTTTAACAAGAATTAATTTGTGTTTTGTTAATTTTTTCTCTTATTATTTTTTTTATAATTTTTTTTTCTACTCACAAATTTATTAATTAATTATGGTGGCTGGAAAATATACTACTCTAAGGATTTATTTGAATCTGGGCATAGAATTTTCTTTTCTTTTTAAAGAATTTTCTTTTCTTCTAGGTAGATAGGGTAAGCTACTTATAAATATTTTTTTCGGAAAATTTTCTAATATTATTTGTGTAGGTATACCTAAAATATTGCATTTTTTTTTCTTCACTTAAAAGTAGTATGTAAATATAAAATGAATATTATAGTTATTTTACCACAATGAGAAAAAATAAGGTAGGTAGGTAGGCAAAGTGGGGAGTTTATTAAATAGTTTTATTTTTTTTTTTCAATTTTTTGTACACACTGCTTACACACAGAGGTTAAAACACTATAAATAGCATTACACAAAAATCAATTTTTTTTTTTCTTTTTATTTTTTAATCAATCAATATTAGGTAAGAAGAAGGTATTCCACAAAAGTTTATTCTATATGTATGTATATATATATTATAGGTAGTTAAGTATGTGTGTGTATATTTCTATACACATATATATATTTTATTTTATCGTATATTTAGTAAGTATAAGAAAAATAATTTTCGCTTGCAAGTTTTAATTTCACTTTATAATTTAATAGAAACAATTTTTAATTTTCTTTAATTTTATTTTTAATATTTTGTTTTTTTTTTTCAATATTCCACAATTTATAATTTTGGGAAACAAAATTACAAATTATTATTTTCTTTTTTCAAAATAAAAAATTTATTTATTTTCGAAATTAATCGCGAAAAATTTTATTCAAATATTTTGTATTTTTAAATATTGTTTTGCAAATTTTCATTTTTCACTTCATTATCTCCCTCATACATATATTTATTATTATCTAACACAAAACAGGTGTATGTATATGTATGTATATATTATGTAGTATACACACATGCATAAAAAAAAATTTTTTTAAATTCCTTATTTTATTTGTTATTATATTTCCAATTTTTTATTATTTCTTATAAAAAATTAAATTTCGTAAGAAAAATATTCCTTAATTTGTAAAAATTATTTAAGGTTATCGAAAATAGTCCATGAAAATTTTTTTTTAAATTCTTGACAACTGTTGTCCGCGGCGACCCGTAACTGCAAAAATTTCCTTTTTTCTTTTCTTGTTCACAAAATCTTTTTTTGTTTTATTAGAAAAAAATTACACACAAACTTACATTTTACAACTTTCCCTTCGATCGATATTTTATTTTTTACTTTTCTTTTATATAAAAAACAATTAAAAAAAAATTTAAATTGAATCCAAAAAATTATAGTTTTTTATAAAATTTAGAAAAAAAATATTCAAACTTCAAATTAAATTAGAAATAAGAATGACGACGACGACGACAGCGACAGAATTTAATTAACGTAAAAAAAAATTAAATAAAATTTTTACTTAAAAAAAACACAAAATTTTTTTAGAACACGGGTTTTGTTTTTTCTTTATTTATGTCTTTTTTTATAGAGCGTAAATTGAAATTGAAAAAACGCGAATTCGTATTTTTTTTTTCGTTATATTTTGCACAAAAAAAATATTAATCCACAAAAATTGATTTTTTTTTTATTTTTCTCCTCTATTTTTTTCTCTATAGGAAAATCAAAATTTTCAACAAGAACTCCACCATTAACAAAGAAAGACAAAACGATTCTGATGGAATTTTTCAAAAAGTTCCGAAAAAAATCCTATACTGTCAATATGTTTTTTTTATTTCATTTTTGCAACCCAGTTGACATACGAGGAAAAAAACATTTTTTTTTGGACTAATATACAAATTCACAATTGAAAAAATTTTTTGTTTTAAAATCAAGGAAATCATAAAATTTATGAAAAAATGTAAAAAAATGAAAATTATAAAATTATGAAAAAAAAATGTAAATTTTTTTTAATTTATTTATTAACAATAAAGGAAGTAAATTTCAAATTGAGAAGGTTTTAAATAAGTCAGTGAAATATTGTGAATCGGAAAAGTTCAATAGTTCCGCAAAATTGTTAATTAAAATGAAATTAGTTTTATTTTAAAGAATGTATATAAAAACTGCCAGCAATTGTTTATAAATTAATATAATTTTGTGCATAAAAAAAAATTAAATTAAAAAAAAAATTTGGAAAAACAGTAGAGCTAAAAATATTAATAAATTTTCTTCACACAAATAATTTCCAAAACCTTTCCATTTTGAACTTCATATAAATTTGGAAATTATCTTTGATTTACTCATTAGCTCATATCATCAATTCATTGAACTTTTAAAACAATTGTGAATTATATTTATAAAAAAAAAATATTAAAGTTTATTGGGATTAAATGAAGTAAATTTAAATTCAACTTTTGTCTCTTTCTAATAAAATGAAATTCAAGATGGTAGTGAAAAATTAATTGTACAATTAAATTAAACTGACAGCACTGGTTATAGTCAATAAACAAGAAAAATAATATCGATAAGAAAGTTTTCGAAAAGTCATGCCTGGTAAGACGTGCTATTATGGTACATTCCACATAGATCATTGCAGGACCAAATACATTTAAACTTATTTACTTAGTGTTTGCTAAAATTTAATGCTTTTTAAGAGCTTCAATAATTACAGTTATTGTATTAATTATTGAAGTATATGAGTTGATTATGAAGTACGTATATGATATTTTATATCACTTTTTTCGATGTGTTTCCAATGTCGTATATGGCTAAAATGCTTTACAAATACAGTTAATAATCTAACCGTAACATTTAAAACAAATAAACATAGTCACCCGATCTTTTTATCTGTTTATTTTGCGAGCTAATTTAGAATATTGTCTGCCAAATTTTTATTATAATATTAGTTTTTACAATATATAATTATACGAAATGTTAAAAATAAGTTTATTATAAAAGTGTATTTAAAATACTTATATATAATTATTCTATTATGTTTCACCTAATAACCCCCAGAGAAAAGAAATAAAGGCGATGTTTTAAAAACTGAAGTGTATACATAGTCGTACAACTTATTATTTGATTTTCTTCTCAGTACGATATTTTACATCTGGCCACACTTAAAGTTTGAAAGCATTTTGGCATTTTCACTCTCCTGCTAAGTCAAATTATACATGTGCGTTTTTTTAAATAAAGTATAACAATATAACAAAGCTCAAATATAGGCACGAGGCTCTGTGTAAACGTTTGAATTATATTTTCCTTAAATTCCCTCAGTGAAGCTAAAAAGCCGAGAGGTTGAAATAAAGTAACTTTTTATAAAACCTTACAACAAAAACTAACAATTATGGTAAGTTTCTTTCTTTTTTTAAATCGAAATAAGCCTTATTAATTTTTTGTATATTGTAGACAGAGGAGGTTAATCCCAAAGCTTTTCCCCTTGCTGATCCAGCATTAACAACAAAAATTTTAAATTTGGTGCAACAATCTTTAAATTTCAGTCAGCTAAGAAAAGGGGCTAATGAAGCAACAAAAACTTTAAATCGTGGTTTGGCAGAATTTATTGTTTTGGCCGCAGATACCAAACCTATTGAAATTTTACTACATTTACCTTTGCTTTGTGAAGATAAGAATGTTCCTTATGTTTTCGTTCGATCTAAACAGGCACTCGGTCGTGCTTGTGGGGTTTCTCGTCCAATTGTTGCTTGTTCAGTTACTGCAAATGAAGGATCCCAATTAAAAACCCAAATTCAAACAATACAACAAGAAATCGAAAGACTTCTTATTTAAAAGTCAATAAACATTCATTTTAAATATAGATTTTAAGTATTTTTGATAAGAAATAAAATTTTCTTTATAAATAATGCTTGTTTGACTTTAATAAAGGTGTAATTTTTTTTTATAGTATTGTCTGATATAGTGAAATAGATACTACATGTACTCTTTATAGAGGGATCAACATATTTCAATTAAACACCGCTTAATTTGGAAATTTTCCCTTATTGCAAATAATATTCATAATACATAATAAAATTTACATAATTATTCTAAATTATATTCCGGGTTGCATTCCAAAGCCTGGTCCCTTAGGCTCTTCAGTTAAGGACGTTAATCCACCCTTTGGTTCTGATGCAAATCTTCCGTTTCTAGGACCAGCTCTTGGAGCTTTACCACTCTTCAAATCATTAATTATTTCTTGCATATCTTTTTCTGTTAAATCTTCGTAGTAATCATCATTTACTGCTATCATTGGAGCATTAACACATGCTCCCAAGCATTCAACTTCTGATATTGTAAATTTATTATCTTTGGTAGTTTCACCTACACCGATTCCTGAAATTTATAACAAATTTATGAAATATATATTTATTTTTATTTAAATGTGTAACTATGTATTGACTTTTAGTTAGATACCTAAAGATTTTTTACAACATTCTAAAATTTCATCGGAACCTCTCAACCAACAAGGAGTTGTTGTACATACTTGAATATGATATGTACCAGTTGGTTTTCTCATAAACATGGTATAAAATGTAGCCACTTCGTATACTCTCATATTGGGGAGACCTAAAATTTCGGCAACTTTATGCATTGCAGAAATTGGTAACCAACCATGCTGTCGTTGTGCTAAATCTAATAAAGGGATCATTGCACCACGTTTATGCCCTTCTGGGTAAATGCTTAAAATAGCTTCTACACGTTTTTTATTTTCTTCTGTAAATTCCCATGGTGTATTTTGATTATCTTCAGGTGTATCACGATGAACAAATAAATTATCACTGCAATTTGAAGCTGTAGTGCTCACCAAACGAATTTTATCTCGTAAAAGGCGAACACCTCGACTTGCATAGTTCATTAGCATGGTGCCCCTAAAAGTAAATTTTTGTTTTTTATACAAAGATAATAAATTTATTTAAATAAATTTACTTTTGTTACTTGATTTTACTATGGAATAGAATGGTAAAACTACACAGAGTTTGTTATGTAAAATCGAATTTATTCATAGGGCTGTCAATATCATATGTTATAAATTAAATATGTATTTTATAAAACGGCCATACTTTTTGTTTAACAAAAAAAATTCTACTACATTTTGAAAACAAAATTCTACTACTCGAGCAAAAGAAAAGTTTTGCATCAAGCATTGTAGTGGTTATGTATGTATTGATATGTATTAAGCTATACCAATAATAAACAGAAACATGTCTTTGAAATATATTTTAAGTTTTAAACCTAAAACATTAAAGTTTCTTATGTAATTACATGTTTTAACACCTTGAAAAAAAAATTGACTGAACAAAGCTTTCATATTTACATGCACAATTCAAAGATTACGACCATTTAGAAAAATTTCATTTATTAAATTTGGAAATAGATCCCTTATTACTAAAATATTAACAATAAATACATTTCATAAAATGTTCATTGATTTATCTTTTAGAATTAAATTTTTAATTTAATTGACATATTTGCCCAGTGTACATTTTTATAAATATTTTGACAAGTACGTGTACAAATTTTGTTAATAATGAGATGGTAACACTTTTTGATGTTTGCTGGTGTGTTTATAAAAGCCCATCGCATCACTCGCTCTTCTTTTATAATTTGTTTTGAAAAATGTAAAATGCCTTTCTATTACATTAAAATTTATTCAAACAAATTAGATTGGTTCAACTGACAAAAGTTTACATGTTTTTAATATACAATTTAATCAAAGAAAAATGAAACTAGTTAGTAAAAATGTTGATAAAGGCCAAGGGTAAGTTAATCTATTCGTGCATCATATAAAATTCTATTAAACTTGAATACAAAATTTTTGGTTATGTATGTCAGACAGATTTTTTTTAAATATTAATTATTTTAGGTCAGTAGTACTGATACCTGAAGAAAATGAGGATATGTGGCATGCATATAATTTGATAGCTGTTGGTGATAAAGTTCGAAGTACCACTATACGAAAAGTAAACATAAATTATTAAATAGTGCATACGTATTAAACTAATAAAACTTAAAGGTAAACACAATGTTAAAATGATATTTGATTTTATTAGGTCCAAAATGAAAGTGCTACCGGCTCATCGACAAGCAGCCGTATAAGGACAACATTAACTATAAGCGTTGAAAACATAGATTTTGATACTCAAGCCTGTGTGCTAAGATTAAAAGGAAGGAATATTGAAGAAAATCAATATGTTAAGGTATCTATTATTTCAGAAAAATTTTACAAGAAAATAAATATTAATATTTAATTATTAAAATTTTTAGATGGGTGCTTATCACACACTTGATTTAGAACTAAACCGAAAATTTGAATTAGCCAAAGCAGAATGGGATTCTATAGCATTAGAACGAATTGAAATGGCTTGTGATGCAACTCAATCAGCAGATGTTGCTGCTGTTATTATGCAAGAAGGTTTAGCTCATGTTTGTTTAATTTTATCAAGTATGACATTGATACGTAGTAAAATTGAAGTTGGTATTCCACGTAAACGCAAAGGTAACTGTGCACAGCATGATAAAGGTTTACATAAATTTTATGAAGCTGTAATGCAAGGAATTTTAAGACATGTTAATTTTGATATTGTTAAATGTGTACTCATCGCATCGCCCGGTTTCGTTAAAGATCAATTTTTTGATTATATGATTGAGCAAGCAACAAAATTAGACAATAAAATTATATTAGAAAATAAAAGTAAATTTTTACTGGTGCATGCTTCGTCAGGATTTAAACATTCACTGAAAGGTAGAGTACTCTTCACTTCTATCATCCAAATTTTAAAATCTATTAAAAAAAAATTGTTCTTTTTAGAAATTCTACAAGATTCATCAGTTATTGCAAAAATGTCTGATACAAAAGCTGCTGGTGAAGTTAAATCTCTTGAAAATTTTTATACAACGTTACAATGTGAGCCGGCAAAAGCTTTTTATGGTAAAAAACACGTAATGGCAGCTGCAGAGGCATCTGCAATAGAAACACTTCTAATATCTGATAATCTATTCCGGTAAGTGATAATTTTTTTTATTAATTTGCTCTATTATGATGGCTTTTTTCAATATAACTGGCCATATGGGAATTAATGAGAAAGATAATAAATAAAAATTGAATTAAATTATTCTTAAATTAAATGTTACTGATAAGATAATTGATTTGAGAATCAATTATATTTACTTTTGATTTTTATTATTATTTATTTTGATTGTATATTAGTAAGGTTACAATTTTCTATTTATAGCATTCTAATATGTATTTAAATATTTTCGTAAATATTGTGTTAGTTAGATTAAAAAAAACTATTTACCCTAACAGGAGACCATAGTACGTATTGAAAAATTATTTTTTATGATTTATATAGCCTTCATTTGTTTAAGGTATACAAATAACTTATAAGAAATTAATTTCAGGATCATTTTTTCCAAATCTTATTGAAGAATTAAAAGAAAGTTTTTATAAAATAGTTCATTGTTACGCTTTTTCTCTACAATTTTTACGTAGTCTAAGCTGAAAGCAATTGGTTTTGAGATTTAAACTATAAAAAGTTCTTGCAAATTCGTTTGCTACTGTCAATTGTTATCCATATTTAAAGTTTTTGCTTTTTTTAATCTTATTTTGTTATATCAAAATTTAAAAAAAATGGTTTTCAATTCTCAAAAAAACTAAAGCAGGTGAAAGTAGAATGGAAGAGTGGATTTGAAATGATTTAAGCTGTGATGTGTAAACGACAATTATAATAGCAAATATAATAATAAGAAACTTTTTTTTATACGGAAACTAAGTTTGCTAATGGGGTACTTCATGCTTTAAAAACTAGAAGTATGAAGTAGTTTATGAAAGGTTTTAGTGATTTCAAAATAGCTTTTTAAAACCAATATAAATTAATGATTGAAGAAATATTTTAAAATTTTATTCAAAAGAACTATATTTTTGGAGACTTTTGATTTTTCTCTAAATGCTCTTTCTGATTTGCCCTAATTATTTAGATTGTGTCCTAACATCGAAAATGTATACTTAATTCAAATTAATTCAAAGTTTTATATTGAATAACCTTTCCAATTTACCTTTTTTTACGGAGTATGAATTAATCAAATCAAAAAAATAAAATTTTTTTATGAAATTTCAATTCAAACAATGTTTTTGTATTTTGTTTTTTTATTCAAATATTATTCAAATTTTTTTTTTCCTTTTCAAAATTTACTTTTCATTTTATTTTTCCAATTAAACTTTTGTGTATCTTATTTTTAATGAAAAGCTAAAAGCTTTCATATGATATCTAATGGGTTTGTAGTTTAATGTTATAAGCATTTTCATAGCAATAAGATAGAAAAGCAAAATGATTCAAATCATAAATGTTATGGAGGGAACGGACGGGAAAGATAAAATCTTTTTAAGAAAACTATAAAAAATATTGAATTGAAAGTAAAAACGGCACACATATTTAAAAATTTGAAAGTAAAAACAAACATTTTTTATTGATAGGTCTTGAATTTTTTTATAGGCAGTTATTTTTTTGTTTTCTTGATCTTTTTGTATTTTTGCAAAATAATTTAACATAAAGAAATATGAATAGGGTAGGACACAAAATAAAGCTCAATAATTCTCTTTTTAGGCGATTTTGAGTTTGCGATTGAAATTTTAACTAAAATTTTTTTTTGGGGCAAACATTGAAAGTTTATGTGATAATTATTATCACCGACGAATCGCTTTTGCTTCATTCTAAGTTTCGAATTGAAAGGTATAAACTAGAATTCTTTTGAGATTAAATTTTATTTTATTGCATTTTGTTCCTTTTTGTAATAAGTGAATTAAAATTTTAATGATTTCTTTTCTTCAGACATGCAACTTTTCTTCGGTTTCATGCAACTTTAAGTTAATTTTAACTTGTTGTTTCGGTTTTAGGCGATTTTTTTAAAAATTACAGAACGTATTCCTACTTTTTTAAAGCAAAAAATTAAACTTTGTAATGTAAAGTTTTTTTATATACGCTTTCCTTTAGAACGAATCCACACATAAAACGAGACCTTACTGTATCACCAAATCAATATTGATTGTAAAATTAAAAATAAAAAAATTTATAGGATTGTTATGCTTTTTTTATAAAAGAAAAATTACTTAAATCTAATCTTTTATTTCTTTCAATCATCATAATATAATAATTTTGTTTTTATTCTCATTAATTATCACAAAATCATCTTCATCATTTTATAATTTTAGTGTCGTCGTACATTATAAAAAAAAAAATTTTTTTTTATTGCCAGCATCATCATCATCATTGACAATGTCATTCAGTATATATATATATATATTATATATAAGATCAATTTGAAATTTTATATTATAATTATATAATATGTACATACATAGTTATATTTGTATTACTTATATACTAGCACTTAAGTTTCAATATTTCAAACTATACTAGTGTTATACTACTTGATACTACATATATACACAATTTTGTATGTACTATTTAGTTTTGTATCCGATTACGGCAAAGATTTTGATTGAATTTTGGCTCTCTAATTTTATATTTGGTTGTTCTTTTTTTGTTGATTTGTCCTCTATCTTTCTCAAGTGATTTCTCTTATTGCTATTTTAAATTATAAATTAATTTTTTTATTTCTGGGCTTTTTTTCTTTTGCTAAAATTTTATAATTTTGGTGGCCATATCATATGTAATCCGATTATCCAATTGTTGTTGATTAATGACATTCTCTTGATCATTACTATCATTATTATTCTGTTGAATATTTTTGGTTGTAAAATTTTCATAATTTGGGCTGCAAAAAATAAAAATATTTTAAAAAATTAATAATGTAATTAAAATATTTTTTATTAGGTGTAAATTATTTGATTAATTATTGAATTAGTATTTGGTAGACTAATGTAATTGGAATAAATATTGTAAAAAAGTTAGACCAGTTATTCCAGAAATATGAAAATAATTGAAATAGCCGAATAAAGAAAATTCGAATTTACAAAATACAAAAGTGATCTGGAGAATTGAAATTGAATTGAATAAATTTTTTTTCCTATTTTGTAAGTAATGTCAAGTAATATTTTTTTTATTCAAAATTAAGGATTAAATAATATTCAAGCAATAACAAATTTATTAACTCCAATTATAATTTAAACTTGTCCTATAAAATTAATTGAATTTGCAAAAATAAACTTGATATTATTATTTGTAGGGGATTGCTATAAATTAGTTTAACAATTTTTTTAATTGTAATTAAAATAATTAAAATGAAAAGTTAATAATAGAATAAGGGGCCTTAAAAAATTTATGCTACTTTTTGGTATTTTTTTGGATTTTCAATACTTTTTTGAATTGTTATTGTAGGAACGGGATGTACGTACGTCTTTTTAAATGAGATTGGCACTAGTTGAAGATGCCAAAATATTAGAAATTTTTTAATTAAAATTTCTTGTATTAATGAAATTATTCTATTATTTTATAAAACTGTTATACAAGAAAATTGTTATAAGCAGTAAAGAATACGGCACATAAACAGTATCATTATTATTAAATTTAGAATATCCTTGGATGACATTTTCAATTTAATTACAATTTTATATTTGATTAACATTTATAAACTGACCCAATTATATTATATATTATATATAAAGTATTTAACAAGCATATGAAATGGATACAATCAGGGTCTTGAGAATAAGTAATTGCAATACTGTTATATTGTTATGAGTTGAATAAGTAGCATAACAACAGTTTTGTTATAGTGTTTTACATTCTAGATAAAATTTTTAATAACAAAACTAAAGTAAAATTTAGAATTCATTTCTCATTCTATTTGTTCGATTTTATTTCTAAATTAATTTTTTTTTTTGCTATCTACCAGTAAATTTGCATTTATTTCACATTTTCTTTCATTTTTTATCGTACGTATGTAATCAGTTTTTTTTTTTTTTTTTTTTGAATTTACTTTATACATATGTAATTTTTATATTTACTAATTCTATTATATAATTCAATAACATTCTAAATAAAATATGTAAATTATGATAAGACATGTGCTATTTAATCTAAAATTCAGTTTGTATAAGTAATGCAAAATAAGTTCTTATTTATTTTTACTATTTAAATTTGAAATTAGTTTTAATATTTTTTAATTAAATTTTATAAAAATCATATTGTGTTAGAAATCAGAACAATATTTGTGTACAATTTCATATAAAAATTAATTTTTTTTATTAATTTGGCATGAGTTGGAACATTTGCGATATTATAGTTAATATTTTTAGAATTTCTTGCTATAATTAAATGGAATTAATAATTTATATTGGGCTATAAATGATATTTAATTGAAAAATGTATATGTATATTTATATTTTTATTAATTAATAATAATATAGTGATTGGATTTTAAAGCTTTTAGATTTGTAAGTAATTGAATTAATTTTCTGAAGGCCTGTACTTTAATTTAAGCAACTAAAGTGCTTAATCAAGCTGCAATTCAATTTGATTTGATTAAAAGATAGATTTAACAACTCTACGGTTTTTGATTTTATTTTACTATACATCCAAATTGTATTGAGGCATAAATTACATTTGTGACTGAATTTATTCAAATGAAATGCTTTTTTTTTTTCAAGAAACTGAGACTAATATTTAATTAAACGAATTTTTGATTGTGTCAAAGCGGTGGGTCAATTGTTTTATTAAAATGACCATGATGTTGTAAGATTTTTTAGGTAGTGCAATGAATTTATTAAAGGTGTTGCGATATAACTTGAGTTTTAATAGCAAAATTTTCTAATACTATGTATAAAATTGTCTGCAAAATAGCAATTAATTCCAAAATCTTTAATTTTTTCTATGCAATATTTTAAATATTCTGAAAATCTACACTGTATTTGAAATTATATATATATGTTTTTTCCTTCTTCACTCCTAGGAGGAGCATAGGGCTAGTGCATGATATCATGCCCTGATTTCACAGTGTCATAGAGTTAACTAGATAGTTGACTAGCCTGCCGTAATTAAAATTATAATACCAGTTTATTATGCCGGTTTGCAAAAAAAAAATAAATTTATTTTTTTTAATTATTTCTGGAACCTTAACGACCTTGTTCACATAAATTTCAGTTTTCTTTAAAACTAATTTATCTTAAATCAAAATTTTTATTATTTTTATGGTTTTCAAATACAACTAAATTTTTTTTCTCTCTTGAATAGTTAAAAATAAATTTTCGTAGCTTGATTCTGTTAGAAACGGTAAAATAAGCTTTTTATTTTATTTTGGTTTTAATATTTTTTTTTTCACGTTTCCAGATTATTTCATGAGATAGCAGCAAATCATTGCTTTTCTGATATAAAATTTGCTTATTGAATATGATATGGTGATATGGTAATAGATAGATAGATATGCATATATTGGAACATGGATTTTAATATTTAATATTTAAAGTAAATGAATTGGTGCAAAAAAAGAAAAAAACTATTAATTCTTGTTTTGTCACTTTCAAATATCTATGTTGTTTCTGTTTTTCTTGTTTGATTTTGACAAAGTAGATTTTAAAAGTTTTTTTTTGCATTTATCAGTAAACATAATAAATTATTGTGTCTAACTGGTATCTACTAGTTCTGTATAGAATTTTTAATCTTTTGTACTCTTAAAAATTTTTCAATTTCACAGCTTTGTTTTTAAAAAATCAATTTAAAATTAATATATGCTTGTCCATTGACTTTGATATATATGATTTAATTGTTTTGATTTTTAAACTGAATTTAGAATTATTAGAATTTTTACAAAGTTTAGTTTTCTGTCAATTGTCAATTGTTCTGAAATGAACGAAGAATTTTAATATTAATCAAATTTTGAGTGATATGATCAATTGCATTTCTTACCTCGAATCTATTGTAGTTGTTCACTATAACAAACTTCTTGGAAAAGATTTTCTTATGAAAATTAATGTGAAAATACAAAAAAATTTGAATTGAACATGAACATTAAGTTTATGTCAAAATGTAACAACTGCAATTTATAACCAACTATTGTCAATTACTGTGAATGTAAATTAAGCCCGTGAATAAAATCGGTTGTGTACTAGTTCATTGAATTTTCTTAAATAACTTGAGTTAAATATCAAAAATAAAGAAATAATTTTTAATATAAAACGAAAAAAAAATTTTTTTTTTTTGAAAATTGTGAAAATATTTCAAATTTTTTATTTAAATAATTAATTGTGAATAAACTTACACTTATTAAGTCTTATAATTATGAAGCATAAAAAGAAAGTAAATGAACGATAATAAAAATAAGAGAAAAAAAAATAATATTATTTATAATGCTCACCAATTATCCAATGATTGTTGTTGATAATAATTATGATTTTCAGAATTTTCTGAAATTTTAATTCTTTTTCCATAATTTATTTTTTTAATATTATTATTTATATAATTTTTATGTTCCTTATCATTTTCAAATTCATTCATTATCAATTCATTATTATGATTTAAATTTTCATTACTCTTATAATAATTATTACTGTTACTGTTATCATAATAAATCATCGATTTACTACTACTATTATTTTTAATATTATTATTACAATTAAATTTCGATGATTTTTTATATATAATTTTATCATTTGAATTATTTTTTGTTAAAATTATTCTTGTTTTAGGTAATATTGTTGTTTTTGTTGTAGTAGTTGCTGTTGTTAATAACATTGATGATTGTGCTGATGATAATAATAACGGATCTTGTTTGTTTTTTTGTTGTTGCATTATTGTCATTGTTGTTTTTGGTATTATTTTCGATGACAGTGATGATGACGATGATGATGATGACAGTTTAGGTAACATTTCATAATTTTGATAAATTGTTGAACGTTTTGTTAATAATTTTTTTGGTTTATCATATTTTTTAAAAATATTTTGGTTATTTTTATCACAGTAATAATTATTTAATATATAAATATCACTACTATTGCTATTATTATTATGATTGTCTAATCTATTATGAGTTTTTATAGTAGTTTTTGTTACCTTTGTTGCTAATCTACTTGGTTTTGTTATTTTTTTCATTGTTGTTGTTGTTGCTGTTTTATAACAATTAGATATTTCTAATGGTATTTTTGAATTATTATTATGGGTTTTATGTTGAAATAATAATGATTGTGATGACGATGATGATGTTGGTGATATTGATGTTGTTTGTGTTGGTGGTGGTGGTATTACTGATCGAATTGATAACGGTATTAATGATTTTCTTTTAATTTTTTGCTCTATATTTAAATTTCCTGTTGAGATTTTCATTTGATAACCTGTTGTTTTACTAGTTTTTATTTTTGTTGTTGCTGTTGTTGTTGGTAAACTGTTTTTAAAAAAATTATCATTATTGTATAATGTTGGTATACCAAAATCATTATAATAAAAATCCGGAACTATGAAATTTTCGGTCAAAGACATTTTTTTTTCTTTCTTTCTACTTTGTTGTGTTGTTGTTTCTTGTTGCTTTAATTGTAATTTTAATGGTGTTTATTCAAATTTTTGAGGTTGTTGAATTTAAATTTTGTATTGGATTAGTTGTATTGCTACACCCCAGAGCGATTTTTTGTGAATTTTTAATATTATGCTTTAAATTTCTTGTTTATTTTAATAAACTGGTCATTAAATTCTTCCTATATATTAGTTTCTGTATAGTGATCTGGTTGAATTTTTAATATGATCACCAAAAACAATAAATTTATTTTAATATTTTTTAATAATTTTTTTTTTTACCGCTTGTGCTTGTAACTTGAAAAAGATCAAGGTTTTTTTAATACAAAATCAAACCGCAGGTAATTTACAGTTTAAAGTTGATGTTTCATTTGAAAAAAATGTTCACATACTGATTGATCATTGTGAATAAATATTTGAGAATAAAAGGGAATTTTTGTTCTCAAAATACGGTGAGACGGTGTTTTAATAATTTATTTATGAAGTTGCTGCTGGTGACTCAGTCACAAATTGAAAGTATTTTCTTATTCTCTTTTTTCTTTATATTTGTTAATTTTCACCTTATTATTAAAAATTTCACCTAAAATGAAAAAGAAAAAATAATAAAAATAAGAAAAAATGTTTAAATACGTCTTAATAATGTTAATTTTATGAATACATTGTAGATTTTTTGTTTTTTTTTTTTTTTATCTACATATTGTGAAGAGGTCTTTGAGTTTTTATATAAGTCATAAGTTGAAATGGAAAAAAAAATAAGCAAAAAAATTTGATGTGAACAGCACATAACCGACAATTTGCATAGCTTTATGAAAATTTCTTTGCAGCTCAAAAAGTTAGGTGATTAGTTGTTGTATTAATAGGCGAAGCTTATACATATGCATATAGGACTTCAGGAAAATTCGATCATTATTGGTAAGATAAAACTTTGAGATACTAATTTGTGCAGAGAATAATTTGTGTTAATTTGTTTGATTAATTTGTTTACGCTTCCCTTCCATGGAGAAGTGGTTTCCACCGAAAACTCGACATGCAAAATTTGGTGCAATCACAATACCTTACTTATTGTGTACAACGCAGTTGGTAAAAGAATTTTTGTATTCATAAGTTAAAAAGAATGTTCTAGATTGCTTTTAAAATGTGTTTTGAAAAATTTTTCGATCTCCATTTCTCGGTTTTTCGGATTCGGCTTCGGAAATAACATCATTTTATTATTTAAAAACCAGTTTTTTGGTGATTCCGTTGTCAATACACGTAAATTTAGTTATAGGTTATTCTGAAAACTAATTATGAATTCATTCGTTTTGTATGTTTGTACATACATATGTACATTCATATACAGTAATTTTAATTATAATAATAAATTCGAAAAAACATATGTGTTTGTGTACATACTAATAAATTAATTCAGCATGTTCATAATCTCATTTTGTATTCATACATTTGAAAAATTAATTAATGTGGGATAATTAATTCGCTGTTATATTTTATTTGTTATAAGTGATTTAATTTTTATGATAATTTTTTACCCTTAATTTTGTAATATTACAATTTTAAGTATAAAAGTTTTTCTTTGTTTTTATGTTTAATGTCATCATGCATGTTGATCGAGTATATTAATTCCAAAAGTATAATTTTAAAATCAATAAGCAAAAACTATATGCTTGTTTTTTCTAGATCTCGATTTTATTTCAAATTCTATTTCTCTGAGAATTGAATCTACGTTTCATCGTAATTCGATTGTTGTATCTTGATTAGTTCAAAAGGAAGAATAAAGGAAATAAGGAATCGATGCTTTTTTTTAAATTAATAAAGTTCTCAAATATAGTTCGCTGAAAATTGAATCGCTAAGTTCCCTAAATATGGTAAAAAAACCCTGACTACCTTAATTATATTTTGTCAATTGGAAATGCTAATTTTTACTTTTTGTTTGAGGGAGATATTTAAATGGGCAGAATTGATTGCGAATGATCTATAATTTTTGAATTATAGATCATTCACAATTTTGAATTGGTTTATTGTCAAAATTCGTTACCAGTAATATTAAATTAGCGAAGATTATACGCTCAATGTTCTCGTTAATGGTTCACTGCTAAAAAATTGACAGATGACTACGCTATAAATTTTAAATTTTCAATTTTACCTTTCTTTTTTGCAATAACAAAGAATATTATGTGACTTCACTGAAAACTGATGTGAACACTGTAATGTTGGTTATTCAAAGGTATTTTAAATACATTCTATAATAAATTTGTGCTTTTAAATTAATTATTTAAGTAATTGATTAAAAATAAATTGTTTCTAAAGTTTTAAATGATCGAATGAAATTAATAGAAATTATAATACGAGTATTAATAACTTTTTTATTGAAAATGATTGATTCCATTTAATTATTTTTTACGATATTAATTTGAATTAACTGCTTGTTTATTATTAAGTAGTCGTTTATAAATTATTTATTAATTATATTAGAATGTTCGTTTATAAATTGTCAGCTTTGTAAATTCAAAGTTGTACACAAATGTATACAATGTACATGTATAGCGCAACGTAACGCGAATTAAATTGATTGACGTGATAATTGTTAAATGTTTATCATAAGTATACGAATTCGGTAACTATAAACAAAGAACAAAATAAAATTTTAATAAAAAAAAAAACTGATTAGAATTCTTACCGCGATTTTTTTTAATTGCTTTTTTTTTAATTACTTAAAAATTCTTGAATTTTAATAGATTTTATTTAGATTTTTTATATAGTCTATATAAATGTAATAAAAGGATTATTTAGGAATAAAATATTCTGAGATCTCATTATTATTTTATTGAAGTATATGAAGATTCTATTATTGAAATAAAATTTAAAAAATAATTATAAAATTTTGCCATTTAACCTTAAAATTTTTGTATTTTTTAATGATTAAATAATTAAAATCTATTTACAAAAAAATTAATTTGGTTTTTTTTGTATATTTTTTAAATTTGCAATTAAAATTATTATGTATTTAAAGAGTTTAATGAAATATTTGAAATTTTTGGGCTTGGGCCCATGTAAATATATAGAAAGTGAGTCTGTGGTCATTTCCCTGAATGCCAAAGATAGATTAACCATTCACTTCATTTGCTTGATTTTGTAAACATCAATCATTTGCAATAAAGCGAAAAATTTAAAATTCGAGACATTGAAATGTTTCCTTCGTCACTCGTTTTGTGACAAAAAAAATCACTAATATATCAATTTTTAAAGAAATTTAATGCAAAAAATGAAATAATAATCATTTGCGTTGGCAACGTATGTATATTGGAATTTATGACGCGTATTTTATGTCGTGTTGGATATTATGAACAAACGTTAGTTGCACGCATTAGATATACTGGGAAGCTGCCATAATTTTAATGACGTGATTTTATAATTCTTGTTATACTTTTAATTTGTATTTTATAATTGTATAACAATTATAACTTATAAAAACTTGTAATTATTATTTAAATTTATTTGAAATTTTTCACTTTTATTTTACATAATTATTGTAGGCAGCATATATTTTAAGTAAAAAGTTAAAAAAATTTTCTAGAAATTTTTTTTATCAATGACTCATTTAAATGAATGAATGAATGACGTTATTATACCTGTTTATTGCAACTAAGTAGGATTATGTCGTTATTATACTAGATCGCCGAATAAGATTTTTGATTAAATTTTTTTTTGTATAACAGCTTTTATATGGAAAATCATTATTAATACTTTCATTATTAACATTGATTTCGTAATAAAGTAACTTTTTAATGACGTAATTTTAAGATTTAATATAGCAGTTATTTATCCTACTAATATGACTAATATAAAGTAATTTTAATAATATTAAAAGTTGAACAGTTTGTTTTTCTTTACTCACTTTGTTGCTCACATAAATTACAATTAAATAGGGATGGTAAAAGGAGGCAGCGGGGTTGGTTTCAAATTTAAATTTTTTATTTCAGCGTCAGTTTCTAAATTTAATTAATTACATTTTTGTAATTGCTAATTACAAAGTGACACAAGTTTATTAATCAATTGTTTTGAATATAAAGCAATGATTTGGAAAATTTTTGAAAAATTTTATAGCTTGTTAAAAAAATTTTTTAATAGTGTTATTGAAATTAGTTTTACTAGATTTCTAAAGTCAACATAAAATTTTTAAAATGATTTATAGTTTTAAATATTGTAATTAAAAATATGTAATAAAAATTTAATAGAATAATTGAATTGAATATATAATTAGGAAGTACGAATTTTTTTACGAACATTTACGAACATTTACGAACATTGAAATTAAAATTTCAAAATTGAAATATAATTGGTACTTGGATTATACTTGGAGTAATTTTTGAATTTGATTTGACTGTCGTTTTGGAATAACAATGGAAGCTCTTGTTAAAAATAAGATTAATATAATTTTTGTAAGAAAATAGCTATTTAGAAAATTTTCAATTATTATTTTCAGAAACCATTATTTTTTGAATATATTTAAAATAAATTTACAGCAAACTGCATTGCTTCCTAGACCTAAACTAAAAAAATTTCTAGTTCTAAATTAAAAAAGCAACTGAGTCAAAATCCTAACATTCCTAACAACAAAGAGTCGACAATTACTTACTCCGCTTATTTTTTACTCTTTTAAATCAACAAATTCTCTATATAATGAATTAAATACTAGATGTGTGTATATTTGTATATATGCATATAACAAAAAAATTAATGCAGAGTTGGAATTTTTGTAGTTATGAAATATACTCCAAAAAAATTTTAGTAATACCATAAGTAATCTTGCTTGCAACGGTAGTTTTTTAATTGTATATTGTGAACATAAAATTTCAAATCTCAGATTTCTAAACCATTAAAATCACTCATTTTATAATTATAATAATGCAAAACGTTTAACTCAAATTTTTCGTAGATAAAAATTTCAACTAATTTAGATTCTAGCATGTGAGTCTTTTGTAACAAATTATAAATTTTTATATAAAGTGCCTAAATTCAACAATTTCTATAAATACAATTTATACTGATATACAATGTACTTTTCGGATTCATTTACTATATACACTAGATTTTAAAAGAAGTAGATAAAACTAGATTAAACTTAATTTATACAAAAAAAACATTTTAAATGTAGATTTAAACTGAATTTATTATTTTTTGTTAAATAAAACCTATTTGCTAAACTATTTTTAATAAGATTTTCTAAACGCAGAAAAAAAAATTCAAAAATATTTCTAAAAACAGGTAATACCATTGTTAACTAATTAACAATGAAAAAGGTGTCATCGCATAACAAAACAAAATGAAAATATTCGAAAAATTAAATAAATTTAATTATGTTTGTAGTTGTTTTTCAATAATAAATTTTTAATAATATTTGTATAAGAGTGAATATGGGCATTGTTTAGCTTCTCTCAATCAATTCTAACCATTTATGCATATTTGGTTTATGTGCGGTTTATGTACTATAGTCAAAATAATTTTTAAAATTAACATAAATCTATGATTTAATTAAAAAGCATGAATTATAAAGCATTTATGCAAATTTATTTTATTTGTATT